TACGTCTCATTAATAGTTTGTGAATTGTAATTTGGCTTCTTGCTTCACATTTGTCGATATTTGCTCATCCCTAATTTATTTTCTCCAGCGTATAAAAGGAAGTGTTGATCCGTGTTAACCTTGTTAAGTCGAAACTCAGAACAAACAAGTATTAATTAATGGCGGGCAGCGCTGTTCACCAATTAAACTATCGCATCTTCGCTTTATTAGTTTAGTAACAAACAAACTGATGACACACAATATAGCACTGTTAAGTTCGACTGTTACTGAAAAAAACAAACATTTGTCAGTATTTAAAACCAACCAATTAACAAACTGTTGACACAAAATATAGCACTGTTAAGTTCGTCTGTCACTGGAAAAAACAACAACATTTCTCAGTATTTAAAACCAACCAATTAACAAACTGCTGACACAAGATGAAACACTATTAAGTACAATTTCTTCTAGAAGAAAGTTTTTCAGGATCAAAATAACCAACAAGCAACATCAACGAAATAAAAAGATAAAAGAAAATGTTTTTTTAAATAACACGCTACAACTTTTACATCACCAACTTTGTCAAAACTCTGATCTACTTCTACAAACACAGACACCACACTTGCTTCTAAACCCCTAGCGTCGTTTTATAGAACCAACATCAGGTAGGTTAGCACTTTTATTACCATACACACATTGTTTGTCAGCAGAGAGTAAGAGATAGAGGAGAGAGGGGACGGAAGAAATAATTGACTGAAGGGTAGGCCTTACTAAGTGTTTCTACGAAGAACCAATGTCACCTGTTTTAACCTCTCGCACCACTATACAGTAGTGTGTTGTTTGTCAGTCGGTCAGTAGACACTAAAATAACGTTACATAAGGGACGCTTAACGTTGCAATTTGTACTGTATTAACGTCAGTAAAACGTGCGCATGCCATGAATCACGAGAACAATTATACACCCGAATAATTAATTATAATAAATCACGCTGTAATAATGTACCTACAAGCATTTAGACTCCTAACGTCTTTGGAGCATGACTGTCTAACATTTTTGGAAAGTGAGGGAGCTAAGTTAATCTAACATAGTTGTTAATAATAGTGTATATATACACTGATTGGAAAAAGTGGTGGGGGGCACGTGCTCTTCTGCACCATGTGTTAGGCGCCTATGTTATTAAGTTGACCACGTTCCTCAACGGTGCATAACATGGCGAGTTTACTTTACACGATGTTATGTAGTTGTTAAAAATAGTTAGTTATATCCCTCGACATAAGATTTTCAACTCCACCTTGACGACTACCTCTCTCCATCCAGTAAGCCCTAAAATACTTAATATACAAACTTCAATAAATCATAGGTTTGTAAAACTGGATGAAAGGTGTCATAAATTTTCATCTAAACAGTTAAACTGACCATTCATCTCTCTGAAGTTATAAACAACCGCTGTCTACTTTTATAAATTACTCAAAGAAGCGAGTTGCGCAGTGAAAACGATCTGCTTTATTTCTTCGAATAAGAATTAACTCATGGCTCGTTTCACCAAAACTAAACCTTTATTACAGTCGTGAATGGAAAAAGAATTAATCAGTGAATAACTAGTGAATAATCAGTGAATAATGACACAATTTTGTTGTTGCTTCTTTTAAACAAACTCGCGTAAAGTTAGGCAAAGGCCTATCTGCGCATAGCCGTCCCTCATTTTCAGCTGATAGACCAGGGAGAGGAAACAGTAAACAGCACGCACCGACCGCTAACCTTTGGGCTTTACAGTCGTGAATGGAAAAAAATTAATCATTGAATATAATGACACAATTTTGTTGTTGCTTCTTTTAAACAAACTCGCGTAAAGTTAGGCAAGGCCTATCTGCGCATAGCCGTCCCTCATTTTCAGCTGATAGACCAGGGAGAGGAAACAGAAAACAACACGCACCGCTAACCTTTGGGCTACTCTCAATTTTACGACCGAATAATGGAATTTGACCGCAACTTATATAACGCATCTCCGACTTCGAAGTGCAGAGTGATAACGGGACGCGAACCGAGAACCCTCAGAAGCCAGTCAATGTACGATTACCACTAAGTCACTTAGAATGTGTAAAAACTATCACTTGCAACGTGTTGCTTTTAGGTGTGGAAAACATACGGCTATCAATAAAAATATTGCCTTTTTGACTTATATTGGCTCAGCGGTAAGCATAAGAGCTTATAACGATAAGACTCGTGGCTCAATCCTTGTAGTGGGCACAGCGTAGATAGTCCATTGCGTATTTTTGCGCTTAAACTAAAACAAACAAGCCTTTTGTTACAATATTTTCCTATGGTAATGAAAATTGTGCAATATTTTATTGTAAAGCAACTTCAGTGAGACTCGCTTTTTTTGAAACGCATTGTTATCTACAGTAGTTAGGCTTAACGAATAATTTAGAGATTGCTGAACAACGCTTACAGTTGATATTATTATTATTTTAGCAGATTTCTAAAAAAATACATCCAAGAATGTTCGCGGAATAATTAGTCTAAACACATCAATTTTCCAGTTACATATATTAAAAACGGACAGTTTTGTAATACATCTCCACCAGAGGTCAGCAGTATTTGCGTTGAACGAAGTACAAATAGTCCATTGCACATCTTCGGATTTTTTTTTTTTCAAGTATCATTATTGTTCACCATAGTTCGAGCCGTGATTTGCTTAATCTAATAATAGTATGCAACTTTTATCGTTACAGCGTCATTTTCTTAACTCACCAATGTTGATAATATCAGTTTTTGAGCTAGATTTCGGTGATTTTAATTCTAATATCATCGTAAAAGTAGAAAGACCAAAATATAGTTTGTTTATATTGTGTCTTCTGCCTAATGAATGTACAAACGAGCTTTTGATGATAAAGTTTATATATACCTTCAAATCACATTTGATTAACACGGTTAGTTTTGAAGATTACTGCGGTGTGTCAACATACTGGCTTTAAAACGGACTGGGCATGGCACAGTGGTTAGCGTGTTGGGCTGCGGGTCGTAGGGTCTGGGGTTCAAAGAGCCGGAGAATGCTCTTGTGGCAGGGAGTACTACTGAATTAATGATGGTTGAACCCGAATCCTAAGGGTTGAAAATACCTATTTCAATGAGATGTTTGTTTATTTGTTATTTAAATAAAAAGTTACAAAAGTGGCTACTGTTCTGTGTCTACCACAGGTATCGAAACCACATTTTTAGTGTTATAAGCCTTCAAACTTACAGCTGAGTCACTGGGGGGAGGGACTTTCAACGAGATGTTTCACACCACAAGTAAATAAAATCTGACGGTCACTAGAACTTAATGATTATAACACTCAGTTAGGTTTGTTTAAATTAAACACAAAGCTATACAATGAGCTATCTGTACTCTGCCCACCACGGGTATCGAAACCCAGTTTCTAGATGTGTACGTCAGCAGACATACCGCTGTGCCACTGGAAGACACTATCAGTTAGAGAATTTGATGAAAGTATATAAGTTTACATCATGCCTCAAATGAACAATACCTTTCTTAGACAGCCCATTGTGTAGCTTTGTGCTTAATTACAAATAAATTATTGACTGGTTCTAGCGATATCCTAGGAAGCATAAATACTCTGATTATCAAACAATAAAAAAAGCGATATTGATCTAATAGTGAAACAACAACGATAATACGATATGTACACTGTTATGGCTGGTCTTTCAATTATGGACTTTAACTAAATCTGATATGAATCTTTTAAGTACGAATAGACGATTGCAGCCACGTGACCGAAGAAGATCTGATCATATTGGGCTGAAGTTAGTCATTGACATGACCTTTCTGAAACTGTCCTGACGTCATTAAAATGCTAGGGATAACGTTACATAATTTTCCTCGTAAATCGTAAACATTTATATATTTTCATAAAGTATAAGTATTGAGTTTTCATTAATACAACACTCTTTTCTCAACAGGAAAACGTATTTTATTAACCGAATTTTGTAAGAAAAATATCCACACTTTATACTTAGTTTCCACTTACTTATACGAGTACGAGTCCCGTTTCTTTGGCGTCTGTTTTTAAACCAGTTGCTAACCTGTGATAGGCTCAGTCCAGTTTTCTTAACTAATAATCGCTTTTCATCGGGAGTAGGGTAGCGGTTCCGGTTGTAACATTCTCTCAGCATTTGTCGGTATCTTTCTTTGAAGCAGTAAACTGTTGCTTCTCCGTCCCAGATGGTTTTGGGTAGCGGATACCTACGCCGCAGACGATATTTGTCTACAGCCCCTAGTGGCCGGCCGCGGACCTTCTCGCTCTCTCGATAGTGGGCCGTGTACCACATCTGTTGGAGCTTCGGATGGTGCTGGGGGTCGTAGCTGTGATTCTCAAGAATAGTATAAAGTTCATGGTAGTTACCCCGGTGAAAAGCTACTGCTGCTCGAGCTCGGAAGACAGACTCGTTGCAGCGCAGGAGCTCGGTTGGCGGAAGTGACGAAAGGAAGCGAGCCAAACGGTTATTATCCCCAGCCTGTTGAAGGACTTCACACACACAAGCCACATGATCTGGCGAAAATGTCCAGTTTTTGCCGGACAGCATCTCGGACACTTGTTTTCTATGGTCTACAAAAACTGGAAGGTCAGTTAAAGTGTCATCCATTTCAGCCACTTTGCCATCGAGGGAGGAGTCTGAGGATAGGTCAGGCAAGTTGAGGCTGTTGCTGTCACGTGCTCGGCTGTCTATAAGCACATTACCAGACGTACCTACGCGCCCCGATATCTGCTCGCCTGGAGGCGGAGGTGTACTGTATGGTGTAATAGATAGAAGCTCGCGGCACGAGTCATCGAGTCTGAGTGGATGTGAAGTCATAGTGTTACACTCGGAATCTTAGTGTCAAGAGTGGAGATTTTACGTTGCTACGACTACTGCGCATAGAAATCTCATTCGTCTTGATGGTTGCACGTGATTGGTCAATTTCTATGATCTCAATGCGTAGATGCGACAATCGCTTTTTTTTTATCTATCTATCTGTTTATCTTCGGTGAGGAACAACGTTCTAACACTGCAGACTTCTACCCATCAGACTACAACACAGGTGAAGAAGGTTTTCAGATTTTAGTTTCAAAATCCTTATTAACTTAGCAAGATCCATTTACATTCACACGTATTTTCACTAATCATTCATCTCACCATTTCAATGTATCCAGCTCGGGCACTGGTTGGGTAGATTATTCGTCGCTCAACCAGTGAAAGTGGGTTTTCTCGGGGCACTCCTGTTTTTCCCCCTCACACAGCATATTTCTCGGCATAAGATACATATTTCGCTTCCCTCCTGATAAACAGTCGTTTGGTCCCTTCTCACTTCTACTTCTCACTTTGTACTTCATGTAAACTGTATTAATTGTAGTAAAGTTGCACTTCATGTAAACTGTATTAATTGTGGTAAAGTTGCACTTCATATAAACTGTATTAATTGTGGTAAAGTTGTACTTCATATAAGCTGTAATAATTATGGTAAAGTTGCACTTCATGTAAACTGTATTAATTGTAGTAAATTTGCACATCATGTAAACTGTATTAATTGTGGTAAAGTTGGACTTCATGTAAACTGTATTAATTGTAGTAAAGTTTTACTTCATGTAAACTGTATTAATTATGGTAAATTTGCACATCATGTCAACTGTATTAATTGTGGTAAAGTTGTACTTCATATAAACTGTATTAATTGTTTTCAAGTTGTACTTCATATAAACTGTATTAATTGTTTTCAAGTTGTACTTCATGTAAACTGTATTAATTATGGTAAAGTTGTACTTCATATAAGTTGTATTAATTGTGGTAAAGATGTACTTCATATAAACTGTATTAATTGTGGTAAAGTTGCACTTCATGTAAACTGTATTAATTGTGGTAAAGTTGCACTTCATATAAACTGTATTAATTGTGGTCAAGTTGTACTTCAT